CTGCTGTGTCAGCATGAGTGTGTGCGGCAACTCGCCACAAGGCCTGGGCGACTCTCACCCATCGACAATTTCCTGCCCTTGCATTACGACTTCTTGCAGTTTGCCTACTACAGAGGTAGGTCTGGCTCTTTCGGGCTCCACGGCGGCACAGAGAGATCAGTGTCGTATTTTTCACTCAAAAGCTCAACTGTGCACAGGTATACAAAGACAAGAACAGTCCTTGTGGGTCAGGCCAAGCCCACAGTAGGCCAATATTGTGTTTCTCCTAGTGGACAACCAAGAATGTCCCTTGGGAAGTGGGATTTGGAAGCAGGCGACCCCCAACCTGGAGGTAATATGGAGTCTCCAGGACCAGGAGACCCCAAAAGACCTTTCATCCATCAATTTTCCCAGTTGTCTTAAAAACCAAACTGTTTCTATTCTGTTCTGTTCTGTTCTGTTCTGTTCTGTTCTATTCTATTCTATTCTATTCTATTCTATTCTATTCCATTCCATTCTATCCTATTCTATTCTATTCTATTCTATTCTATTCTATTCTATTCTATTCCATTCCATTCCATTCCATTCCATTCCATTCTATCCTATTCTATTCTTTCTCTATTCTATTCTATTTATTCTATTCTATATTCTACTCTATTCTATTTTCTATTCTATTCTATTTTCTACTATTCTATTCTATTTTCTGTTCTATTCCATTCCATTCTATCCTATTCTATTCTATTCTTTCTCTATTCTATTCTATTCTATTCTATTCTATTCTATTCTATTCTATATTCTACTCTATTCTATTTTCTATTCTATTCTATTTTCTACTATTCTATTCTATTTTCTATTCTATATTCTATTCTATATTCTATTCTATTCTATTCTATTTTATTCTATTCCATTCCATTCTATCCTATTCTATTCTTTCTCTATTCTATTCTATTCTATTCTATTCTATTCTATTCTATTCTATATTCTACTCTATTCTATTTTCTATTCTATTCTATTTTCTACTATTCTATTCTATTTTCTATTCTATTCTATTTTCTATTCTATTCTATTCTATTCTATATTCTACTCTATTCTATTTTCTATTCTATTCTATATTCTACTCTATTCTATTTTCTATTCTATTCTATATTCAACTATTCTATTCTATTTTCTATTCTATTCTATTCTATTCTATATTCAACTATTCTATTCTATTTTCTATTCTATTCTATTCTATATTCAACTATTCTATTCTATTCTCTATTCTATTCTATATTCTACTATTCTATTCTATTTTCTATTCTATTCTATTCTATTCTATTCTATTCTATTCTATTCTATTCTATTCTATTTTCTATTCTATTCTATTTCCTCTTCTCTTCTCTTCTCCTCTCTTCTCCTCTGTACTCTTCTCTTCCATCCCATCCCATCCCATCCCACTAAGGTAGTTTCTCCTGAGTTCTAGGTTGCCTCTCTCCTTGATCTGTCCAATCCAGATTGTGCTCAGTCAAACTTGTGGCGATTTCTCCCTTGCTTCCCTTGTGACTTGGCTGGCCAGAATGTAGCCAAATTGAAAAGAAACCCTGAATTGTGGTTATCCCTCCTCCTTGCAGAGGGTGATTATGTCCGAGCCCTGGAATGCACCAGGACGTATCTCCTCTTCCATCCAGACGACGAAGACGTCCTAGAAAACGAGGAGTATTATAGGAGCCTCTTGGTAGGATCTGTTGACCTGGAGGCCATCAAACCCAGAGAGGTAAGAAGCTTGGGTGTAACTTCTATGGTCCTTGGCCTTGGTAAGGAGCAAGCCACCTCCTGCAGGGTCCAGATCGAGGTGGTGCTAATAGAAGAGAAGGATTGTAGCTCGGGGTTCAACTGTGGGGTCTGTGGTGATCTCTGAGGTTTGATGGTTTTCCTGCAGACCTTTCATGGTCCAACTAGGGAACATCATCAGTGCTAGAAGGGAGGGGGGGTTGCAGAGAGGAGGAGGAAGAGGAGGAAGAGGAGGAGGAGCAGAAGGAGGACTGTGGGGTCCTTGTTGCTCTTAGCTTGATGGTTTTCTTGCAGATGTTTCATGACCCAACTAGGGAACATCATCAATGCTAGAAGGGAGGAGGAGGAGGAGGAGGAGGAAGAGGAGGAGGACTTTGAGGTTCTTGATGCTCTGAGCTGAGTGGTTTTCTTGCAAACGTTTTGTGATCCAACTAGGGTACATCATCAGTGTTAGAAGGGAGGGGTCTTGGTGGAGAGGAGGAGGAGGAGGAGGAGGAGGAGGAGGAGGAGGAGGACTGTAGGGTCCTTGTTGCTCTCTGAGCTTGATGGTTTTCTTGCAGATGTTTCATGACCCAACTAGGAAACATCATCAATGCTAGAAGGGTTTGTGGAGAGGAGGACAACTGAAGGTCCTTGGTGCCCTCTGAACTTGCTTGTTGTTTTTTGTAGACGTTTCATGACCCAACTAGGGAACATCATCAATGCTAGAAGGGAGGCAGTGGGTGGAGAGGAGGAGGAGGAGGAGGAGGAGGAGGAGGAGGAGGANCTGCTGTGTCAGCATGAGTGTGTGCGGCAACTCGCCACAAGGCCTGGGCGACTCTCACCCATCGACAATTTCCTGCCCTTGCATTACGACTTCTTGCAGTTTGCCTACTACAGAGGTAGGTCTGGCTCTTTCGGGCTCCACGGCGGCACAGAGAGATCAGTGTCGTATTTTTCACTCAAAAGCTCAACTGTGCACAGGTCTACAAAGACAAGAACAGTCCTTGTGGGTCAGGCCAAGCCCACAGTAGGCCAATATTGTGTTTCTCCTAGTGGACAACCAAGAATGTCCCTTGGGAAGTGGGATTTGGAAGCAGGCGACCCCCAACCTGGAGGTAATATGGAGTCTCCAGGACCAGGAGACCCCAAAAGACCTTTCATCCATCAATTTTCCCAGTTGTCTTAAAAACCAAACTGTTTCTATTCTGTTCTGTTCTGTTCTGTTCTGTTCCTTTCCGCTATTCTATTCTATTCTATTCTATTCTATTCTATTCTATTCTATTCTATTCTATTCCATTCTATCCTATTGTATTCTATTCTATTCTATTCATTTTCTCTATTCTATTCTATTCTATTCTATTCCTATTATTCTATTCTATCCTATCCTATCATCCTATCCTATATTCCAATATTTATTCTATTCTATTCTATTCTATTCTATTCTGTTCTATTCTATTCTATTCTATTCTATTCTGTTCTATTCTATTCTATATTCTATTCTATATTCTACTCTATTCTATTTTCTATTCTATTCTATTCTATTCTATATTCAACTATTCTATTCTATTCTATTCTATTTTCTATTCTATTCTATTTTCTATTCTATTCTATTCTATATTCAACTATTCTATTCTATTTTCTATTCTATTCTATTCTATATTCAACTATTCTATTCTATTTTCTATTCTATTCTATTCTATTCTATATTCTACTCTATTCTATTTTCTATTCTATATTCTACTCTCTTCTATTTTCTATTCTATTCTATTCTATTCTATATTCAACTATTCTATTCTATTTTCTATTCTATTCTATTTTCTATTCTATTCTATTCTATATTCTACTATTCTATTCTATTTTCTATTCTATTCTATGTTCTATTCTATTCTATTCTATTCTATATTCAACTATTCTATTCTATTTTCTATTCTATTCTATTCTATTTTCTATTTTCTATTCTATTTCCTCTTCTCCTCTCTTCTCCTCTGTTCTCTTCTCTTCCATCCCATCCCATCCCACTAAGGTAGTTTCTCCTTAGTTCTAGTTTGCTTCTCTCCTTGATCTGTCTCATCCAGATTGTGCTCAGTCTAACTTGTGGCGATTTCTCCCTTGCTTCCCTTGTGACTTGGCTGGCCAGAATGTGGCCAAATTGAAAAGAAACCCTGAATTGTGGTTATCCCTCCTCCTTGCAGAGGGTGATTATGTCCGAGCCCTGGAATGCACCAGGACGTATCTCCTCTTCCATCCAGACGACGAAGACGTCCTAGAGAACGAGGAGTATTATAGGAGCCTCTTGGAAGGATCTGTTGACCTGGAGGCCATCAAACCCAGAGAGGTAAGAAGCTTGGGTGTAACTTCTATGGTCCTTGGCCTTGGTAAGGAGCAAGCCACCTCCTGCAGGGTCCAGATCGAGGTGGTGCTAATAGAAGAGAAGGATTGTAGCTCGGGGTTCAACTGTGGGGTCTGTGGTGATCTCTGAGGTTTGATGGTTCTCCTGCAGATGTTTTGTGGTCCAACTAGGGAACATCATCAGGGCTAGAAGGGAGGGGGTTTGCAGAGAGGAGGAGGAGGAGGAGGAGGAGGACTGTAGGGTCTTTGTTGCTCTCTGAGCTTGATTATTATTATTATATTTATTATTATATTTAAATTTATATCCCGCCCTTCTCCTCGCGGACTCAGGGCGGCTGACAATCAATTAAAATACATAAATGACAATTACAGATTTAAAATTAAAAAGAAATATTTTAAACATAGTCCAATTAAAATATAATTAAAACCCCTCTAAAAATTACCCTAGGCCAGTCCTGCAAGCTGGAATAACCAAGTCTTGAGGGCGCGGCGGAAGGAAGGGAGATCAGGGATCACCCTGATCTCTGGGGGCAGTTCGTTCCAGAGGGTGGGAGCTCCCACAGAGAAGGCCCTCCCCCTTGGGGTCGCCAGCCGGCACTGTCTGGCTGACGGCACCCTGAGGAGACCCACTCTGTGGGAGCGTACAGGTCGATGGGGGGTAATCTGTGGCAGGAGGCGGTCTCGAAGGTATCCAGGTCCGATGCCATGGAGCGCTTTAAAGATGATAGTCAACACCTTGAAGCGCACCCGGAAGGCCACAGGCAGCCAATGCAGCTCGCGCAGCAGCGGTGTCACATGGGAGCGTCGAGTCCCTCCCAACACCGCCCGCGCGGCCGCATTTTGGACCAGCTGGAGCCTCCGGGTGC